CCGGGGTGTAGCTGCAGCTCCTGCCCGCTCACTGAGCTCCTACACCGGGGTGTAGCTGCAGCTCCTGCCCGCTCTCGGAGCCTCCTGCAGGGCTGTGGATGCTCCCTGCCAGGTGTGCTGGTCTGCGGCCCGTCCCGGTGACGGACCCCGGTGAGGAGCGCAGCTGCGGGCGGCGGGGCTCCGTCACTGATTGGAGAATGTCGGTGGGTGTCGCGGGCTCTTCCTGCTCGTCATTGGGCTTCCTCTCCGCCGCTCAGACCGCCGCTGCTGCGTCTCCGCACACTTCCTGAGCGAGCCACCGCTTCGTCTGCCGTCCTGAGCGGGGAGACAACATGAGGTAACGTGGCCTTTTCAAACCGCCGCCGTTCGGGCTTTATTCTCCGGTTCTCGCTCCGCCGCTGGTTGAACGTAAACCTTCAGAAAGGGGCCGTTTTTCGAGCTCGTCGCCCGGATAGATCCGGATCTTGACGCCCGCTCGCTAGCGCTCCGTATCTGCGCTGACTTGTTCCCCTCATTAAACCGGACAAGAAACCCAACAATAAACATCAAACCGGAGCTTCTTAACGCGCCGTTAGTCCGGAAAACCGTTTTTATTTAAATAAAACTCTGATTTCTGTGTAAACTGGTTTAAACTTGCGCTGAACGGCAGCTAGCCGTTAGCCGCCGCTAGCTGAAGTTAGCTTCTGGTTCTATGTTTCCTTTCGGGCAGATAAGGGAAAAATGTGACAAAACAATCCAGTTTTTTCCACATTCCTCTGATGTAAAGCCAAATGAGACGCTGAGGTGAGCCGGTAGTATGGGCTAAACCCCAGTCTGAAATCTGTCAGCTCAATTCTAACTGCGAAAATACTAAAACAAAACATAAAATAAGAAAAAAGGAGAAATATAATGTATTTACTGGTGTCAGATCTGGAACCACTCTACTCAAACTGGTCACATCTGGACTGGATGGTCCTACAGAGGCTTTAAAACCTACTTTAAAAATGTCAAACCATTATTCTAACTGTGTTTTCTCATGTAGACCTCATTAAAGGAATAAAACCTTTAATAAAAATACTCTTTAAAACACTTTCTCTGATTTATGAAACCTTTATTCTACCTGTGAAAGTCCAGTTAAGAGGTTTCACTGCTTTGTGTTGCATGTTTGCTTGTTTAAGTCATTAAAAAGTAGAAACGAGTCTCTGGATGAATAAAGTCCATGAAACAGGTCAGATCTGAACCTGTTTATGTCAGAGACTCTGAATAATGTTTTAAACGCCGCCTCTGGTTTGTGAGATCCTGGAGCCTTTTTACACGTAGACCACATTAGAGCAGGTCTGGATCTTAAACATCTCCATATAAACCTCCATAAGTCTGGATTGGATCAGTCCAGAGAGCGTCACGTTTCAGCTGCTTCTCTAGTTTGTTAAACGCTAAAGTGGAACTGCCTTATTCTCACAGAGACCACATGAGACCAGTTCCTGATCTGAAACCAGTATAGATATCTGGAACCTGAGTCTTTAAACCCCACTTCCTGATTTGTTAAACCTTTATTCTGCCTGTGAACATGAAATTAAAAGACATTTAAGGTCAGATGAGGTCCACAGCTAACCTTCATTAGTCTGAAGTGGTTCTGGACCTGCTGTGATCCCAGTTCTGTTTGTTCCTCATTTAATTCTATTAAACCGTGTTGGACGTTTTGGGTAAAACCTGAATGTTTCTCTGAAACACTTTTACACTTTGTTTTACTGCTTCTTTCACATGTGAACCCCGTTACAGCTCCAGACCACCACACATGGACACGGCTCAGATCTGGTTTCACAAATCAGACTGTTTTCTAGAATCGTTATCCTCTCTGGCGTGATCTATCAGACCAGTCTGACTGTAGTGGTTTCAGATCTAGACCTGGTCCAGTGTGGACCAGATGTGAAATAAGCAGTGATATCTCCCTTTTGTTGTTTTTGTATTTTCCAAAGTAGATTAAAGGTTTCACAAACTTCTCTGTCGTAACCGAATCCTGATTTGGACAATTTATATTCACTCATTTTAGATCTGGCCTTCCTATAATGTGGTCTAATGTGGTCTAATGTGGTCTACACGAGGGGAAAAACAGTGAAATCTCCTTTTTTACATTCTCATTAATGAAAATAACACCCGCAGTGTGTTTTAAAGGGTTTTTAGCTTGTGTGGGTCGATATAACCCAGGATAGACCCGTCTACATTATTGATTTTAGATCTGAACCTGGTCTAACGTGGTCTAAGTGAGAGGAAACACCTGTTATAGCTCCTTCTTTTTTTTTTTTTTTACATTCTCATTTATAAATTAAAGAATTACAGTGTGTTTTAAAGGGCTTTTAACTTGTTTAGGACGACAAAACCCAGGTTTGACTTGTCTATATTAGTGGCTTTAGACCTGGACCTGGTCTAACGTGGTCTAAGTGAGAGGAAACACCTGTTAAATCTCTTTTTTTACATTCTCATGAATAAAAATAAACAGCCGCAGTGTGTTTTAAAGGGTTTTTAACTTGTTTAGGAAGATATAACCCAGACTGGACCTGAGACAAGTGTTTTAAATCTGGTCTAATGTGGAAAAACTACAAATAGAGTCAAGGTTTCACGCATTCAGAGGTGTGTGTCAGACGTCTCTGAGGCTTTACCTTAAATATCAACCGTGTCTGCTTGAGTTTCCCTTAACTTTCCTCTTAACTGCCGGATGGGAAGCGTCGAACCAGAAGCTAACTTCAGGCAGCAGGTAACGTTGCTGGTAGCTTTAGCTAGCACCTTTTATTTAGACCAAACCTCCGTTTATACCACTTTAATCACTTTCTGTCTCCTCATGTTGAACCCAGAGGCTGTAGCCATCGTGTAAACGGCTCCTCGGCTCTGTTGGGCTCTAACTGGAGCAGCAAAGTGAGCTAAGCTAGCCGGCTAGCCGCCTGCCTGTCAGGCTGCTAGCTAGCGGTTAAAGTTGTTTCTGCTGCGGCTGGTCAGAGCTGCACACACTCTGCTGGAGCTCCTCCTGAGTCCGACCTGCTGCTTTCATGCTGCTGCTGAGGTCAGAGTGGGACCCAGACCTGACTAAAATACCCTGAAGCCCGTCAGCAGCAGCAGCAGCAGCCTCATTGTGTTTGGAGCCAGAATTAGCAGCTCCTATTATTATTATTGCTGCTGGTGCTGCTGGTGCTGGTGCTGGTCCCGGTCCCGCCCTGCTCCAAGGACGAGGAGGTGCAACAATGGGCATCAGGGCTCCTGCGCTGTGGGAGCCTTTATCACACCAGGACATCAGCCAAGTATTGATTTTGTCTGCACCACAGCTTGCATAATGTTTCCTGACTGTTATAAACCCTGAGGGATGTGGCCAGTGTATTAATTTAGGGTCACACCGAGCTCCCACGGTGCTGGTCCACGGTGCTGGTCCACTCACTGCTCTTACAGTTAGAGTGCTGTGAGTTGGAGCTTTAAGCCTCTGGACCTCAGGCAGCTCACGTTTCCTCCTTTTGCATGGTCACATAAAGTCCTGTGGTGTCTTCTGTGCAGCTAGAATGGCATAAATCATTAAAAAGTTGTGTTCCTTTGATTAATTAGTTTGCAAAAACAGACAGAACCTGGATTTAGGATGTCCACAGGTGTTAGCAGCACTGGGAGAAATGGTCTCTACATGCTGTGGATCATCTGCTGTGAGTTGATGGAGAACATCCTGATCCGACAGCAGCCCTCTGAACCCCAAACAGCCTCTGGTCCTCACTGCACAGTAGTTAGAATGGCATCAATCATTTATAAAAAGTTGGTTTTCGTCAGTTATTAATGTCACAAAGACATCAGGGTGTCCACAGGAGTCACCCACACTGGAGCAGATGGAGGCTCCACGTAATGCACATATGAAGCTGTTTACAGCCTCCACAAAGTCTGAGGGACGTTCTGTCTCCTCTCTGGGTCTCATCTGTACAGATCTGTGTCTTGGTTGTGTTGTTTTCTGTGTCTCAGTATGTTTGTTTTGTCAGTTTGTGTCTCGCTTTTGTTGTTTGGTGTCTATCGTTTGTCATTTTCTGGTTTTGTTTGTAATGTTTTGTCTCCTTTTGCGTCTTGTTTTTGTAGTTTTCTGTCTCTTTTGTACCGATTTGTGTCTCCTTTATGTTGTTTTCTGTGTCTTGGTTTAGTTTTTGTCATTTTAATTCTCATTTCCATCATTTTGTGTCTCTTTTTAGTTGATTTGTGTCTCGGTTTTGTTGTTTTGTCTCCTTTGTATCGCTTTGTGTCTCAGACATGTTTAGTTTTTGTCATCTTTTGTCTCATCTTGTGTCACTTTGAGAGGTTGTAAAGCTTCAAACTCACCCACAGAAAGTGCTTTTCACAGTTTCATGGGGAGTTGTGTCTCAAATTCTTCCTGATTTAACATTTATTTGAGGCTCATTCTGAACCCGTGTTCTTGTTGGGAAAACTCTAAGACTGTTAGGTTTAAAAAAAAACGTTCAGGTCAACAGATCTCACCCACCGTGTGTCTGAACCCGGCCAGACGGCGGCCGTGGATGTGGACAGAGAACCAACATCTGCGGTCACTCTGGAGCAACCTTTCATCCTAAATAATGTGGCGCCTCAGCAGCGACGTGGAGGATGTGTGACTCTGAGTCAGAGGACAGAGAATTGCGTTATTGTCGCTGCACAGTGTACAATGAAATTACACTGGAGCGTTTACACAACCGGACAGCCGCGGAGCAGCGCCGACGTCTCCCTCAGATCTGGTTCATTTAGTGCATTAACACCATAAAACCGTCTGACTGGTGCTGCCCTTCTGCTGAACACCGTGTGCTTCAGACGCACCTTCAGCCAAAGGTCACGTTGCTTCACCCTCTAATCTCGTCCTCTTATCATCTCAGTGCTTCTCTGAACATGTTCTGCTCTTAGCGGTGGAGATGTGACACCAAAACCTTCTGCTGGTGCTCATTGAAAGCCCGGTGGGAGTGTTTAGCTCAGTGGCGGCTGCTTTAGGAGGGTTCTGCTCACGGTGACCTCCTGCTGTTGTTCCTAACCTCTGACCTTCTCTGTCCTCAGGAACAGAGATCTCTGGGAGGGAACGTGAGGCTCGACTCCAGGAGCATGACATAAAACCAAGGACCCGCCTGGAACTGTCTCCTCGTTTGTCTTTTGTTTTGTTTTGTTTGTTTGTTTTTGTTTTTGTTGTCTAGTTTCCCCACCGTCGTGGAGGAATATCACTTTAACACTACTGTGGCGGCGGCTGGCCGAGTCGCTCCTCCTGCATATCACTGAGATTCCTGATAGCAATACAGAGAGGTGTCAAAGGTCTTGAACAAGCTGCACTCGTCGTACCTCTGTGGCATTAAATCACATTTCTGGCAGCACTTACCGTGCAGGAGACTTCACAGAGATCTCTGGCTTTGTGGTAATTTAAGTTAATTCTCGTGGCCTCCTTGTCCCAACAAGGTGTGTTTTGCTTTTTGTCTCGTTCATTCTCAACCGATCTGTTTTTTTAATGAGAGTTTGTGTAATTATTTAAGGAGTTGTTGTTGATGTCCTGTAGCTGCTCGGCTGCCTTACATCGCTGCCCGTCAGGCGGCTTTAGGTTGTCTTTTATTCTTATGCAATACTTGTGAAGAACACTTTGAACGACTGACTTGTGCGTCCTGTTGCAGTCCTTCCTGTAGAAGCTGACAGATCAAACTGTGACTCCCGTTCTGGACTTTAGCGGTTTCCGACCGTCACTGGATAAAAACTCTGAACTGGAATCTGTTCTTTTCAAATGAAGACTGAGGCCCGCGGTGGACCGACCGCTGTGGCGCCGCTGCGACTTGAACTGGAGCGCTGTAGAGGAGGACTTTCAGGGAAAACGTTCTCAGACTGACTTTGATTTTTGATTTTGGACTCTTAAAGACTGTAGAAAATCCGCCCTGAAGCTGGTGAGGCCCGTAGACTTGGTGCACCACGATGCGCTCTCCAGAACCGTCCTCCCCCTCTCCGGCCGAAGCCCTCCTCCACAGCCAGTTCGCCAGCTGGGGCTCCGGCAGCAACAGCAACAACAACAGCTGCCCCAACAGCCCCGGCGGTCCCGGAGGCCTGTCCCCGGCCGCCTCCCCGACCCCGGCGCCGGCCTCCAACTACGCCTTGACCCTCACCCACACCCACGTCCACATCCAGCGCCTGTCGCCTCGGCCCGGGAAGGAGGCCCGGCTGCTACTGCCGCTGTCGGAGCTGGTGGGCTGCAGCTGCCCCCGCGCCCCGGCGCCGCCCCTGCTGGTGCTGTACTGGTACCCGCCGGGGAAGCGACGGAAAGGGGTGTCCCGGCGGCGCCAGGTGAGGGCCTACCTGGCGGAGAGCCGGCCGGAGGCTGAGAGGTGGTCGGCTGCTGTGCAGTGTTTACTCAGAGGGGTGACCGTCACTGCTGACACAGGTGAGTCACCTGCTGCCAGGTGTTCTGGTGTTTTACCTGCAGAGACTTTCAAAGGTAGAATATGAGTAAGTCTGTCATCAGGAGGCAGCTCGTCATGATTAAATCAGTGGTTGTCAAACTGTTTGAGCCACGACCCCCAAGATAACATCAGCTTGTGTTCGTGACTCAAACAGTTTGAATGTTTAATGTCTCATCAGTAATAATTCTGCTGCTCATGCGTTAAAGATGAATGTGTTAATTCCACTGATTCATCTCTTTACATGAACACGTTTAAATGAATGAATGAATGGAATTTACTTGGAAAAAATCAAAGGGAAGAAAATCTAAAAACAAAAGAAAATAATTGTAAAAAGAGGAAAACTCAATAATAATAATATTAATAATATCACATAATCAAATCATAATAATAACAAGTCAAACTTTTAATTTTCACAGCTCTGATACACATTTATCTGATAAATCTAGGGTTTATTTTATTTGTATTCTTTGTACAATGATCTGGCGACCCCCTGAAATTATCTTGGGACCCCCATGGGGGTCCCGACCCCCAGTTTGAGAACCACTGATTTAAATGATGAACCTGAGCGCCGCTGCTGTCACGCGTGTCCTCACCTATTTCTGTGTAACATGAAGTCGTGCTCCTCACTCGGAGTGGATCAGCCATTCCTCAGACTGTTGACTTTACAGAAGAATGTGAGAACCTGCAATCAGCAGATCAGATGTTTGTCCAGGAGTCCACAGATGGAACCAGCTCTGGAAACAAATCACAGCTCCACAAGCGTTGACAGCGTCTTTAGTTTCTCTGGTGTTTTGTGTCTCGTTTTTCTGTTGCTGTGTTGTTTTATCTCTCTTTGGTTTCCTTTCTGTCGTGATGCGTCTCCTTTCCGCCTGTTTTCTTGCTTTGTGTCTCATTTTGGGTCTGTAGGACAGTTTTGTCTCTTTGTGCTGATTTGGTCTCGTTTTTAGTCTCACTTGTGTCATTTCGTGGCTCTTCAGGGCAGTTTTGTCTGATTTTTGTCGGCTTGCTTCACTTTTTTCAGTCTGTTTTTCTCCCATTCGTCTTGTCTCGTGTCGCTTTGCGTCTCGTTTTTGTCTTTTTAAATCGCTTGTGTCACTTCCTGCCTCTCCTGACTTTATATATTTAACTATTTAAACTTTTACAACCTCTGCAGACCAGAAAACGTCTCCTGTTGGTCACATCCGAGTCTTTAAAGGCTTTTCTGCTGCTCTGTTTTTGGCATATTTTTAAACAAGACGTCTAGAATGCAGTGATTTTGACGATAGTTTACGATTTTAAGCTCAAATTTTATCATCTTTCTCCATTCAACCACACCTTAGTTCCAGGACCGTCGGCTCTTTGTGTCTTTACAGTTTCTACCTGATAAATTAGAGAAGAAAGCCAACAAAGTTTACTAGAATATATCAGAGAGAGACAGACACAGAAATGTGAGTTTTTGAAAAAATAGCGTGTCTTTGAAATCTTCCAGTTTTGGGGTTCAGAAGGTTGAAATGCAGATTTGTGTTCTTATTAAATCACCAGTTAGTCCTGAGGTCAGTCCTCCACTCACTTCTACACAGTTGGATTCATTTATGGACTGATTTGGGATCCCTGAACCAAGGTGATGGTTTAATTAACGGACTGACAGACTTTCACCAGTCCGACCTGAGCAGACGTCTCCGTCTAAGTCCAGGATTGTTCACAGCCTCCTTCTGCTCTGATTTCCTTTGTGAACGCCGGCTAAGTTTAGCTCCGTGTCAGAGCGACCCTTCTGAACGTACAGGAGGACGGCGGCGGCGGTCCAACATTTTAGGAACAAAAAAACAAAAGGGGATTAACGCTAATGCGCCCTAAGAGGCTGTGAGGTTTCAGAGTGTTTGTTTGTTTCACGTGTCTTGTTCTCGACTTCTTTTCTTCCCGTGTCCTTATCTGGCCTCAGCACATGTTCTGTATCACTGGGAGCTGAACGTGGAGGCGCTGAGGGTGGAGCTGCTGCATCCGGCCAAACCTCCACGCTGGTTATCCAACAGATAGCCGCTCGCTTTCTGTCTCTGCTTTCACTTGTTTCTCACACACTTGACCAGCATCTCCCATCCTGACTCTCTTTGGTCAGGTTCATTCCCTCCAGCCGTCGCTGTGTTTTCATTTCCTCCCATACCTCTGGTTTCCACGTCTCTGTGACTCTTCATGCTGCTGTGGTTCGTTGGCTTTTCTGCAGATTTGCTCTGGTGTTGTTTGTTGCGTAACGCCGGATTATCTGACAGCAGCCCTTTCATCTCCTCCCACTGAACCACATCTTAGATCGGTTTTTACACAGATTTATATTCGCTCTAATCTCCGTCCTGGAACCGTGACAGATGAGCATCTTAGTCGCACCGTTTACATAAATAATAAATGATTTAACTCTGCCTCTGCTTCACATGCTACAGGTGCCTTCTACCATAAATCAGAGCTGAAATGATTAGCAGATAACCTGCGAGGTGAAACAAAGGCGGCTGGAGAAGGAGAAAGTCCAGGGTTGAGCAACTCCAATAGCAGCTTAGCTTATGTCGGCTGAAGTCTGTCTTTGTCCCGGACAAGAAATCTACTGGCGGGTTTTATCTTCTAGAACATCACCAGAATGACGCCTTTCATCAGCCAGAGACTGTAAACACAGAACGGATTACACTGGATAACACAGTTCAGTAAAATAGACCAAATCTAAGATCAATAATGTGAATGATTAATAATCAATTAACCTCCTGAACCCTAAAAAACAGCTGCAGGTTTCAAAGACGTGTAATGAAATATCACCTAGATGACACCAGGAACTGAGAAAATTATCAGATGTTCAACTTTGCTTGAATGTTGGAAAGATTCACCAGAAATAAGCTCAAAAGTTCATCAAAATCAGGTTGTTCTACATGTCTCCATGAAGACGGTCCCAGAAATAGTGTTTGAAGCAGATCCTGACCTCCTCAGAACCACTGATCCTCCATGAAGGACTCAGCTGAGACCAACAGGAAACATCCAGAGAGTTTTCAGGTGTTTCCTCAGAGAG